GATCTCGGTAGAAACCCAGTAAAAGATAAACGAGATTAACTGACCACAGTTCACTTAAGTGTGCTACCTTCCTCTCTCGCAAAACCCGCGACGGCCATCCTAGACACACTTATCTGATGCACAGTTCATTCATAATAACCGGCAACCTAAAGCTTGAGACGCCAGATGACGGACGACGATAGGATACGCATAGTAATGAGCCGAAAAAACTGAAGCAGAAGACCAACTTCAAAACTGCCTCCAAATGTGGAAGGTCCTCATTTATGCTTACCATCTTCTGCAACGGATGGGATGACAGCTAAACTAACCGGACCAAGCGAATAGGTGCCCATGTATTCAGCATCTGTCCCGTCCGGGTCCGCGATATCCGGTGAATTCGACTTTGCCGGGGATAGAATCAATGCGGGTGGNGGATTTGAGAGCTGAAGGGATAGGGATAGGGAGAGAGAGAGAGTGGGCGTTTGACAGTCTTGGATCACCTAACAGACATTGGCTGAGAAAAACGGTGATCTGAACCACACGAATATTCCAAGCCGGAGGACATGGGCTCAATCAACATGAGGATGAGCAGTGAATTTGCAGTTTCCATGTACAAACATTGTAGTGTTTTCAGGTTTCAATTTGTCTTGTTCGTAAGAGGCCTTGCAAAACATCTACAAAAATTTTGACGCGAGTGATCACTTGTATCACAAAAAGTTGCCCCGCTTCTGAATTCAGGCTTACGCTGATTAAGCGATATTGTTTTAACTCCTTGCAGTGTTGTGAGGCAGGTTAAACATTGCCCCACTCGGTAATGTAAGTGGTTAAGTGTGCCTTCATGAGATAACTGTGAAGCCAGCATCAGCAATACGCGGTGTCGAAGTACCGGCGATCACAGCCTTCGGTAACGTGACTAAATCTTCCGAAAATTAGGCGGTTTTTTTATCCTGAACGGATACCGCGAAGTTTCGAAGGTAACAAATTAGGATAAAATCCGAGAAATGAGGTCAATTTTATGTTTTTCGGGTGACATTTTGTTTCTATGTGTATTTCTTACACAGGAGGCGATTTACTTTTTAAAGCGATAAAACTTCTTTCTCTCTAAACGGTTATCCTAGGGGTTGCCCAATTGTATTTCGTCTTCTTTATTTTCTGCACATGAATAAACCTTCGATCCCGAACAACGTTATCGCGTGCAAGTATGCGGACGAGGTGGTAATTGGGTTTCGCTCCACTTACATCTATTACACTGCTAAAGATAATTTTCCAGTTAGTTTCTGTGTCGTTCTCAGTGCACATAAATGTAGTGATGTTCATGTTAGCCTCAAACTCGTTTACTTACTCTCCGGAAATAGCTGTTATCAAACACGTAATTCTCAAAGTTGACTTCGTGAAATACCTCGGCGTTAACCTGTCACATAACCTGTTACTGGTTCGAAAATATTAAGACCATTCACATTAGGGATCATGGACTGTTGCCCCTCTACAGCTCCAGACTCGAAAATCGTGCAATTCCGTTTCATGTAGGCCTTAAATTTGTCACATCTTGTTTTCTTTCTCATTGCCTGTAACATCTCCCCGGTCTAACATAAAAGGACTGCATTTTACTTTGTAAATATGTTGATTTTCTTTAAAGTTGCCAGAGGGTTCCCAAGACTATGTTAGGTTAATATAATTATGTATTGATGTACTCGATAGATTTACAAACCGCAATATGTCTATGGCGGACAATTGCCCGTATACGAATCTAACCTGCGAGTTAAAGCCTTGCGCTCGTTCCCTGTCTAGGCTGCACGTACTACCAGCAAAAGATATGACATTCTTCCGTATGGTGTCCACATTAGAGGCAGAACCTTGTTAACCATCTCTCCGAATAATATTTGATTTGAATGTGTCCATGATTTTTTAACCTTTTACTATTGTTTTCGTTTTTTACATCATGCAAAACAATGAAAACTCATCATATAGTTGCATCAATCTATTCTGTTTTAAATTAATTAGATTTNATTAGATTTTAGAGAAACCTTAATGGAACACGAGTACGCCATTCAGAGCGAGAAAAAAAAACCGCCTGTCGGAAGGCACGGAAGCCGTTTAATTGTTCATGCGCCGGAGATTCACGAACCCATTTCTTTGTCATCAAACTGTTGTGCGAGGCGGTTTGGTATACATACTCTGATTTCAGATACGCGCGTATTACAACAACCATAATAATAAATACAATGCGTGAATCACGTGATTTGCATGTGAATCTGAGAGAAGATAGAGCACGATGGTAATTTCCGTAATATTATTCATGCTCAGTACAACATGTAATATTTCTATCTATCTATCTATCTATCTATCTATCTATCTATCTATCTATCTATCTATC